ACGCACAGGGTTTACAAAACTTGGGCCGTCACATTTACTCGCATTGCCAAGCTTATTGATGGTGCTAGTAACCGGTGGCGTATCGAGGTGCTGCGACAATTTTTTTCTCCGGATGAGCTTCCACGTATATCTCAGATCTCTTTACATCATGGGCCTGATGTTCCAATTTGGAATAGTGATGCTTCAGGAAGGTTTTCGGTTAAGTCCGCTTACCAACTGGCTGTTTCTCTTTTTTATCCGAATTTGAGGACTGTAAGAAGGGAGAATGTACATAGGGTGGCTAGTAAGGTTTAAAGTCAGTTATGGCGTTTGGTTGTACTTTCTAAGGTTAAGCATTTTATTTGGAAGTGCTGTTATGTTGCTATCCCTACTGAGGCCGCGCTAGTTCGGCGAGGTTGCTTATCGGATCCATTGTGCCCGAGGTGTGGGTTGGAGGTCAAGGATATTATCGACATTTTTTTCCGGTGCGATCACTCTGTTCAGGTATGGAAGCTCTCTCCTCTTCGCTAGGATTTTTCTCAGCATTCTCCTTCTTCTTTTATTGGTTGGTGGGAGAGTCTGTCGAGAGATTCTTTGATTTCCAAGGAGAATAAAGAGGTAGCGGGAGGGTTGTCTGCTTTTTGTTTGTAGATGATTTGGAAGGCTAGAAATAAAGTGGTTTTTGAAAAGGAAGTTTGGGATCCTTTAGTGGTGGCTACTCTAGCTACGAATCGAATGTGGGAATTTCTGGATGTGCAACACAAGTGCCAGGAAATTGATTCTTCTATGAGTTGTCTTGGGTCCTCTAATAGATGGATACGCCCATCAGCTGGTCTGATTAAATGTAATATGGATGCTAGTTTTTCAAAATCATCTTTGCAAGGAGGTGGAGGGGCGGTTTTTTGGAGTTCTGATGGATCTGTTTGTCAAATAGTAATTTTTAAACCGGTCTCTTCATTGTCTGTGAGTGAAGTTGAGGCTTTTGCTTTGTCTTGCGCTGTGTTGTGGGCCAAAATGTTTAATTTTCAACATGTCTGCTTTGAGACGGATGCTAAAGTGTTGCTGGACGCTATTGTGGGTGTGCGATATGGTGATGGGGAGTACTTTCCTTTGGTGTCTGAGCTACGAAAGGAGCTGCATGCTTGTTCTTTGGTTTCTTTAGCTCATGTTTGAAGGGAGGGTAATAAGGTGGCGCATGCTCTTGCTAGTCTATCGAGGGGTGATATGGAGGAGGATTTGGTGCTTCGTTCGTTCCTAGAATTCATCTCTAGGCTTTTGGCAGTTGATGCGGTTAGTTGCGTATGAGGGTTGGCTTGTGTTTTTTTGTTGTTTTTGTGTGGTAGTTGCAAAAAAAAAAAAAAAAAAAAAAATTTATTATTGTTTCCATGATTACCTATCTATGGTGGTGTATGTGGGCCATGCAAACAAATTGGTTTCCTACACAGAAATATGGGACCCATTTGATTTGATTTCTTGAAAGGACTTCTTTGTTAGAAATAGCTAGTTCGAAACTTTATTTGATTACTGGAGTACTAGTGTTATTTTTTTTTTGAAAATAGTGTTTTGAAGACTGGATTAAAGAAAAGGAATCGAGCAATATTTTGTAATTTTTTTTTTTTATATAAAACTATTATTTTAATTCAAACTTTTTGAAAATTCTTCCCATAAAATTGAGTCAAGCAGACACATGTGAAACAAAAACCCTTGTGAATCACTAATCATAAACTCAAAAATAATAATTTTTATATATATATATATATATATATATATATATATGTGTGTGTGTGTGTGTGTGTGTGTGATGCATAGCCCACATGCCAAGAATGTTAAATTTATTGTATTTTTTTAAGAGATAATTCCTAAAAAAATGAAATTATGGAATCCTTAGGTCAAAATGATGAAGTCAGCTACACTTTTTTTAAAATGATAGAGTTTTTATCAAAGTCTGACCAAGATATGAAATTATACATTATCCTTTTATTCTTAAACTGTCCATAATTTTATTAAGGTATATATATTTATATTTATATATTATATTTCACAAAAGCACCACTTTCATTTCCAGCAATGCCGTCCTCGCTCCACTACCACAACCGTCGCCACAACACTCTTTCTCTCCTTTCTTCCCTATCTCTCCGACGTTGCTCTCTCCTTTTTGTTTTCCCTCTCTACGATTCTCTCTTCTCTCCACCATGGTCTCCAACCACTGTTGTTAAAGACCATAAATATATAAAACATATGCACACATATAAGCATAAATATGTATATATATTTTGTATAAGTAATAAAATTTAATTGATGTTATCTTCCTCAAAGACCCAATTGTGTCTGTATATATATAATATATGCAAACATTCATTTAATTGCATCAATTGATATCCAATATATTATTTCAATAACTTTTATATATATATATATATCCTTTGTATAAGTAATTGAATCGGTTTCTCTCACAATATAGTTGCACCTTTTGAGATTTATATAGACACACACATGCAACCACCGGAGCGGCGTGCGGACCTGCTTGTCCCATTGGGATCGGAGGAGGTAAAGTAGAGGCAACCGGAATCCACGAAACTCTTAACCGGCAACGCTAGTGACGAGAGGACAATCCGCCGGAGATGGGGAGAATTTTGAGGGACTGTTCATACCTTTAACTTTCTTAATGGTGTAATTATTTTTCCAAAAGAAAGAGGAAAGACAATTTGGTAATCAAGACACACCTTTATAAAATTTTATCTTATTAAAAAAGTTAACTTTGACGCCATTATTTTGGCATAAGGCATCATAATTCTATTTTTTTTTAGGAATTATCCCTTTTTAAAAAAGACACGATTGCCAAATTTATCATTTTTATTTAAAAAAAAAAAAAAAAAAATTCTCTCAAGAAGTACGGTTATATGACACGACATCTAACTCTCCTTACAAAGACAATTTGGTAATCAAGACACACCTTTATAAAAATATTTAAAATTCACCATCATAAAAAGTTGAATTCCCCAAATACAGCAAGTGTGTGTATATTATTAAGTTCCAAAACAATAATGGTTGATGTATTTGTAACTAAGTTTACCTATACGTAATTTTTTCTTTAAAAATTCACTCGTATTAATGAAATATAAAAATATTTAAAATTCACTATCATAAAAAGTTGAATTCCACGAATACAGCAAGTGTGTGTATATATATATACATACACACACACTTGCTGTATTCGTGGAATTCAACTTTTTATGATATATATATACACACACATTTGCTGTATTCGTGGAATTCAACTTTTTATGATAGTGAATTTTAAATATTTTTATATTTCATTAATACGAGTGAATTTTTAAAGGAAAAATTACGTATAGGTAAACTTAGTTACAAATACATATATATATTATGTGTAGCTACTAGCTAGTAGCCCAGTAGCTAGGAGCAGATATTGGGGAAGGGAATAGGATCTCTCCATTATAAGATATACTCTTTCCATTCTTTTTAAAAAAGAAAAAAAAAAATTACTTTTAAATTTTTGTCTGTCTCAAAATAAATGTTTATTTTCAAAAATCTTAAAAACTTTTTAAAAAGATGAGTTTTAGCATTACCATTTTAATCTTCTTGCATTGAACTTATGAAAAATAAATTATTCTATATATGTGGACTTATTATAAATAGATTTACTAATTCATTCACTACCAATGTACCAATATAATAAAAAAATATATTAAAAGTCATCTTCTTAAAAAGTTAGATTCCAAAAAAAAAATTATTTATTTATTTTATTTTATTTTTAGGGACGGATGAAGTATTTTTCAGTGGCACTGTATAGTGTTGGTTTTATTCGTAGTAATGTGGTTAAAAAAAAAAAAAATCGTAGTAATGATATTGCCTATGCTCTTAAAAAGTACAATACATGATACCGGCGAGAATTCAAGTCCATTTACAGATATATTTTAAAAACTGATGAGATTGATCAGAACACAGAGTTCATGAGATGACAAATTTTCATATAGTGAACAAGTTTTGAGATTTCATTAATAGCCTCATTTTATAAAAAATTTAATTTTTAACGTTGGAGATGGAACACAATATTGTATATCGATTTTCATGTGAAATCAAAACATAAACTAGGTCAATTATTGCTAGAGTAATTTGTTATAAGCAAAATTTACCATGAGAATGCTTTTACTTAGGGGTGTACAAAAGAACCATGGAACCGGAACCGTGAAAATCATAAACGGTTACGGTTCCTAAAACGAGGAACTATTTAGATTCGATTCGGTTCCGATTCTGGTCTCACGGTTCAGTTCAGGAACTGTACTGTAATATATATATATATATATATATATATATATATATATATATATATATATAATTATACTTGTGGGCTGTGGGCGACTGGGCCGTGACTGATAGTGCCAGCCTGTAAGTTTCAAAGTGAACACATCCACATATTCATTTCAGATTATCATATATTGGATAAAATTTTAAAAATTAAAATCACAAATGACAAAAGTCATGAACTCTCAAAACCTAAACCTAAGTTAGGTTCACCACTTTACCTAACCTCTCAAACTCACTTCACGGCTCCACCTCCCCTCCTCTCCTCTCAGCCTCTCGGCCCTCTCATTAGTCTCTATCTTCTCAGAAGTCTCTTCGGACTGGTCTCTATCTTCTCAGATCACAGACTCACGACTCTCGATTCTCCTCTCAACCTCTGATTTAATCTGAACCAGAACCGTTTCCGGTCCACTGCTCACGGTTCCGGTTCCATTTTTTAAGAACCGTTTAGACCGGTTCTGGTTCCGGTTTCAGCAGGGACCGCACCGAATCGAACCGTGTGCACCCCTATATTCATCATAAATTTTTGTCCTAAATTATTGAATAAAGAGCACGTTCTCACATCACAACCTCTTTAAATCTTACATTAACCTCTTTAAATCTTAAATTAACTTGTATCGAGAAAGAGTCCAAATCTTGTACAGTACAACATGCTGTAAAAAAATGTCAATATAAAACACTATTAATCACAAAAATTTATAGGAAAATAAATTATTAGTAACCAAAAAAAGTTGAAGACAAGCCAAACTCAATGGCTCATTGTTTCAAGTTTTTATGCTAACAAAAGAATAAAGACCACACGAAACTGCAATGCATCATATTCCAATAACATGACAGTTTGGGGATGACTATTCTGGTCGGGGGCTTTCTAGTCAATTTCTCCATGAATAAATATAGGATTTTGATGGTCTGTTTGCCAGCTCCACCTCCATTCCTTTCTTGGGACAGCTCATGATTTCACTGTCATTTTCTCTTTGAAGAAGTAAAACTGAGACAACCTTTTCATCCAAAATGCCCAAATAATCCTCAAATAAATATTATCCCTGGGCTTCTGGCTTATACAAGTGAAGGTCTAATATGCCAAAGTCCTTTAGCAACTTGAACCATGAATTTTATACCTATGGAATTCCTCAACAACTCTGATTGATAGATCTCTCTTCTACTTCTCTTGTGGAAACTGATGATATAATCTGCAACAACCATTTATGAAGCCAAATATCAACTCAATGTTCTTTATGCTCTTTGATGTAAATACAGCAGTTCAATCACACATATACATCGCTTGCAATCAAAGTTTCAGGGATATTATAGGAATAGCACCTATTAGTGACATGCACAAAAGACTTGGGTGGTATGGACACAAAAAACGCAGGCACGTTGATGCGCCAGTTAGAAAGGGAAGACATATTGTATAATAGAATACAATGGAGAAAGAGAATCCATGCAGTGGAACCCATTAATTTGGGAAAAAAAGGCATGGATGAGTATGATGAGAAAAAAAAAGACTCGGGCAGTAAGAGAATGTAGACACGTGGATACGCGGGTTAGAAAGGGAAAACATGGTGTACAATATAATAGAATGGAGAAAGAGAATGAATGTAGTGGACCCCATCCATTCATTTGGGAAAAAGGCAAGGATGATTATGATGATGATGATGATCTGGTCCTCATTATTCAAAATATTTCTCCATGTGGTGATAAGTACACAGCAACATTCTGTTTTGGATACAACTATTATAACTCCTACAAAAGACCCTGTTAATACTCCTTATGAAGAGATCAAATCAAACTTAAAAAGTCTACAACCCTAGTAGAAGAAAGATTGATTAACCAAGGCCATAGCTGCCAGATTAAACCAACATGAACTTCAATTTTAATGCTACACAGTCCTCAATGGTTCAAATAAAACAAATAGAGATGTAAAAGTTTTAGACATGGGCTTTTAGTTCCGAGTCTGGGTAAGCATATGTCTGGAATTCAGATTCATACATCCCACATTTTAGAATATTGGGACTTGAACAACTACTTTAAATAATTGACATGAAACTGGTATAAAATTAGTTGAACAAACAATGACAATTACTTCATTATTTTTATCCTAAATTGCATATTTAATTTTGTACATTAAGCTAATCATTTATTGGCCTACAAAGGACCTGCTGGTTTAAGCTGCTACAATTGGTTCTGGAAAATATACAAATGGACTACTCAACAGATGGCATAAAAATGGCAATTTAGGAGTGTCGCAAACCAATTCCAGACAACTACAAAAGTTTTGTTCCCTCATTTCGCCTCTATCTATAGGTAAGTATGAAAATACATAGAATTCAGCAGGGCAAATGATTATTCAGGTGTTTAATAAACAATCAAAGGAACTGCTTTAACTATGTTATAGAACTTAAATGTCTATCTACGACCTTCCTGAATTTGCTTTTTGTAATGACTTCTACCTTCTTTTATCTAACACAAAAGCAACAACCGGTGTAATACACAATAACCTAACTTTGGAGAGATCCATTAAGCATCGAGTTCTTGCTTGAAGCCAAACTATTAATAACATCATTATCCCTTACTCATAACTATGTGAACGATTCTTATCCCAACATGAGACGATATTGGACCTCAAATGTGCTGCTAGGAAACACCATTCTCAGAGGTATATCAAACACATCACTAGACTCGGGGTGTTTTTCCCTTCATACGCAATCATTAATACCGAGATTACCAAAAAGCCCAGAGAAGTAGGGAAGTCTTTATATATATTTCAAATGCAACAGCAAAATTTCTGGACAAAATTTTGATTCCTACTATCATATGGTTTTAGGTGTTCAGTCAGAACAAGATTGTTCATTGTATTTCAACCATTTTCCTTGCATATCCTAGCTCACTACAATTCGCGCCTAGTTGTTAAATATTACAGACGTTGGCAAAGGTTTCACAACATTTGTCAAGAAAGAAAAATTGTGTTGCACAAAAAATTATTGTTCCGAAAGAATAATAGTTAAGATGATAAAAATAGAACAGAGAACTCATCCTACGTGTTGAAATTTTGTATTGCTTATGAGGTTACTCCAGCAAGCAAGCTCTAAGTATAACAAAAGAATTTTGCACCTGTGTTCTTAAATGCAGTACAAAGGCAGTACAATAAACAAAACTAACTTAACTTTGAATTATCATCAAATTGAAATCTGCATTATCAATAAAAATCAAATTACCTACAGATTATCACTCATGGAAAAGTGTTAACTAGCTAGCTTTGTGTTCCACCACTCTTGCGCACTGAATGCTGCCGAATATCATACTCGTCTACATACTTCAACGGCGTAACACTTTCGTTCCTGGACCTCTTGATCTTGGGGCTCAACAGGCCTCTATGCCTAAACCCATATAGTTGAAGCACCTGGTTATCGGCAAAATTGAATGCCCTTTCCATACTGCTCAAGCACCTCTCAACCGGGTAATCCCCGTAGCTCCCACAAGGCTTGCAACCCACAAAATGGGTCACGAACGGCCACCTCTCATCTCCCAATCCGGGATGATACTTCTCAATCATCTCTTCGTACCGATCAACCAATCCAGCCCAGTACCCATGTAAGTAATAAGAATTCTCAACAAACACATTCTTCATCCACACATCCTTCTGCGAAATCAACAAGTATATCAATGCTGACTGATCATCAGCTTCGAAAGCTGGCCTGCCCTTCAAATACGCCGTCAAAATCTTCCCGGCCTCATCACGAATCGGACCCTTTGGGCCCATTGGCGCCCACACATCAAGCAAATCCAAAGCCCACTGGCAATTCCTAAACAGAAAACTCCCAGTATTCAATGCAATCCATGACTTCTGATCGAACAACAAATCGGGGTATCCATGAATAACCAAGTTATGATCCTTGTACTTGGAAAGGGGAAGCTCGAAAACCATATCTGTAAACAAAGCATCACTGTCCATCCACCAAATCCACTCCACTTCGGGATGGGACAGCATTAGCTTCCGAATCAAAGGCAATTTCGCCCAATACCCAGCAAGTTCTTTATCCAAATGAGCCATATTATACACAATTTCAATCCCATGTAACCTACAATAATCAATTTTGTTCTTGACTACTTTCAACAAATAATGATCCCCAATTGCGTTGTCACAAGGGTTTGGGGGAGACCCAGTAACGAGCAAGATTCGAGCTTTACCGTTCACATGATTTGGGAATTCAGGGTTGCGATCGAGCCAGATCTTTCGCTCTTCGTCCCAATTTTTGATCTTCGGTCCCAGAGTGTAGGTGATGTTAGGGTTGATCTCCAATTCAGCAACGCCATCCGGGTCGTCGGGGTCCTTGTCGGACCGGATCTCGGCGATGATCCGTTTGGTCTCTTCGATTAGGTGTTGGTTGATGGCGTCAGCGTCGGAGCTGCTGAGGTTGAGGCCGATGGTGCCGCGGAGGACGAGAATGGTGACGACGCCGCAGAGGAGTGTGATCTTGATGTTGTTGAAGGTCCGGCTGATCTGGCGGCCGCGAGGCAGGAAGGAGTTCCGGCCGCCGACGCCGGCGCCAACTCTGCCCCCGTTGGCGGTGGTGGTTGGAAGTCCTCCACCTCGCTTCTGAGTGGTTAAATTTTCTTGACCCATTATGCTCTTCTACACCCAATTTTCCTCTCTGTAATATAAAACACACACATACACACCCTCACTCTCTCTATAAATTGTTAGGAGAGAGAAAATGGGGGGACATGTAAAACCCTAGCTGTGAAGGAGTTGTCATGGGCAATTGTATCCGACTGATGTTTTGATTGGCTTAGTAGAGAGAGAGAGATTTGATGAGAGAGAGAAGGGCAGCTACCGACTGATTTGGGGGAGGTTTGTTAATGTTAACGTTAAAAGGAGTGTGAGACAGTGCGTGTGTGTGTGTGAGAGAGAGAGGGTCCTCCCGCTGTTTACGGGAATTTTCTCATGCACGGCTGTCTTTTAACGCGTTAATCAATCTGAGGTTTCTTCCATTTTCACATATTATATACTCTCACATGGAGTATTATAAACTCCAATCTCGTCAATAAATTTGGTGGTTTTCATAATCCAATAAAAAAACATGATGTCTTTAAAAACGTTTTTTAACTAAAAATTTAAAATTTTAATTTTAAAAATATTTTTAATAGTGTTTAACACGTGTTTGAACAGTTGAACAGTATTAGCATATTCGAGAAGTAATAGTACTTTTGGTTAGATTGAAATCAACGTGAAGAGTAAAAATAAATGAAAAAATAGTTTTTTTAAAAAAATTATTTGGTTAGTATAAAAAAATTTCAAGAAAAAGGTAAGACATTCATTGTTTAGCGTGAAAGTGAATTGGAAATATTATGATTTATTGTTCATATTTTTATTAAATATAACAATAAGTATAAATGAATTTTAGATATTCTTTTTCTTTCTTTTTTGTAAAAAAAAAATTTGTGGGAAAGTTAGATGGTCATGAAAAGTTACTTTCCTATCTTGGTTTTCAAATTCTTAAAAAGTTTAAAAAAAATTAAAAAATAATATTTCAGCAACCAGACCTAAACAAAATTATTTACAAGTCCATAAATGATGAGTCATCAATTTTGAAACTTAACTACTAATAAGTGATCATATGAAGATAATTTGATTAAAATACTTGCTCATTACACATTCTAAAAATAATTTTTAGATGACAAAAATATTATTTGGATTCATCCTCCTCTTGCTCTTTTTTCCTTTTTAGTTTGCAGCCTTCCAATTAAAAAATTAGAGTTTCTTCAATAACATTATCTTTTAAAATTAGGGTTTCTTCAATAAAATTATCTTTTTTTTTAACTGCGCTCTTAATATTTCCATATAGGTGTGTATAGTATATATATATATATAGTAAAAATATAAACAAGTTATATATAAACAACAAACTTGTATAAATATTTACTTAAAAAATACTTGTGTGAATCGTGTAACAAAACAAGAAAAACAAGAAAATCAAATTAAAAAAAACTTCCTTAAATTGATTCTGAATAAAAAAGGAAAAAAAGAAAAAAGAAAAGGTAAAAGGTAAAAACCCATTAGTTATAAAAAGAAATGAACAATGCTTGGATCCATTCTCCAACCTGCTAATGACTCAATAAAATTGTGATAAGTGTTAAAATTAAATATATAATTAAATTAAGTATTACCTAATTTTTACTTTTGCACATGTGTTTTATATCCTAACTTTTATTTTTGGACACTTGGTTTAGATTTATTGAACTACATCATTCAACTTGAGTTAAACCCAAACTTTGTTCAAAAGAAATATATATATAAACAAAGAACATGTTTTAGTTTCCTCAAAATCTATCTTGTGTGAATGGATTCTTTACTCTGTTTTTTATTTTCTTCTTCTTCTTTTTTATGCATACATAAGAGAATGAAAAGTTTAAAAAGGGTATTTTTGTCTTAAAAAATAATTATTGGAAATAAGTCGTTGATGAGGTTAAAAGTGACCATAACAATAGCTACTGCAAAAGGACAGCTTGAGGCGACAGTCCTATGGCATTCCTCGTTATTATAATAAGGATATTTAGATAATAAATTATTAAATAGTCACTTGTTAACCATCATTACGTTTGAAAGTTGATAATCATCCATTTTTTCTTGACTCTAGACTTGTAATTTTGTTTAGAATTTGTTACCAAAATCTAATTTTTTCTAAAAAAATTTCATTTATTTTTCATTCTAATTATTTCTATCTAACCAAAAATAAGAAAAATATTCGGGCTTCCTAAGTAGTTTAAGAGACACATGTCTTTTTTTTTTCTTCATGTGAGTTTAAAATATCGTCGTGACGTTGTCATATTTGATATCATCATCTTCTACTCGCATAACTGTAGTCGAATTTGTAAAAATTTATTTCCAAACCGTTTCTAAACTGAATGGTTCATCTAGAGCATACTCGCCTAAATATATTGTACGATTTTTGTTCCATTATTTGATGAAGTAGTTGGATTTCAATTCTTAAAATTAAAAAAATTATTGATAATAGTTAGATGATTTAATTTAAACCTACGAATATCTTCATATTCTTAAGAGTAATGATAGAGATTGATTGATTTTATGTGAATAGAAACTCATCATTACTTCACGGATATTAATGACATCAATCTTCACTCATATAAATTAGTCAGAATTGTCCAACTTTTAGACTTCATATCATTATCTCATTCTTAATGATTAGTTTGGTTTTATCGGAAGGAAGGAAAGAAGAGAGTTGAAAGAAAGATAAAGAGTAAAGAAAAAACTCCTTGTTTGATAGAGAAGGGACAAAAATAGAAGGAAAAAGAGGATGGTTGAGCACGTTGTTACTTTACAATTTTTCATTCCTCCAAGTTTAAACAGAAGAGAAGTAATGTTGTCACACAGATTTTAAATTATAATACTACCCTTCTATAATTACCAAATAAAGTTAATATTCATGCAGGGTCTCATATCCCTCGTTTAAACCCTAATTAAACTTTATTTAGTAAATAGGAAGTCAGTTTAGACTTGGAAGTTGGAAACAAGGCCAGTTCATATTAATTTATTTTTCCTTTTTTCTTAATGAAGAAAAATTATTATACGGAGTACTTAACACAAAAAAAAAAATCAAAAACAATAGACAATCAACATTAGCATGAACCAATTATAACAAAGTAAATGTCTTACCAATTCCCTTATCTTCCATCCAATCATATCATACACAAAAAGAGTTTTTGCTTAATTTACTTACACATCTGTAACACATTTTTCATCACCCCCTCAACATATCTGCACAAACTAACACATAATAGTTCTCATTTTTTTATTAGCCGAACATCACTTACACTACAAAAAAAAAAAAAAAAAAAAATCAACAACTAATGTACAACAACAACACAAACATATTGACAATTAAACTAATACAAATGGTAAACCACACCCGTCCAAAAACCTACCGGCCAATGGAACATTGTATCATATTACACTAGTGTGTTTTTCGGTAAAGTTTACAAGAAATTTAAGTAAGAAATTCAAGTCTCAAAACAAAGTTATATTCGAGATTTTACGTTTTTTCAAATCAAATAAGTTGAATAGATTCATAGCTCTAGTTATTATGTACGAAAAATTCTACATGAACAGAGAAAAAAAAAAATTGTGTAAGGGAAGTAGTTGAGTCCATCTCTTTCTATTATTAATTTTATTTTATTTTATTTTTTATTATTATTTTTTAAATCATTCTCATCGTCATAAGGTTAGACAAGTCTGATTAGTTTGATGGGTGGGAGGGCGTGGGTCCGACCACTCACATAAGGAGTCAAGCTCTCAATATATATATATATATATTTATTTATTTATTATTTTTTTACTATTATTTGGAAGTTAAAGAAATTACACACATTCTATTTCCACCGAGGTTCGAACCTCCGACCTCCTCTTTGGAGGGAAGGGGTGATACCGCTGAGCTATTTGGTCATTTGATATAGTTTAATATGTTATTATAATACATTTGTTTAAATTGATTTATACGGAGTATAAAATTTGAATAGAGTATCCATTAAATCAAAAATAAATAAAAGTTAGTTGGAAGAAAAAAAAAAAAAAAAAAAAACAAGAGGAGAAGAAAGTGCCTATTTCTTTAAACGGGGCCTTAGACCATTGCCTAAGTAAGGATTGAGACACCTTGAGTGTATTTTTTTTAAAAAAATACGTTATTTGTACTGCCCTGGAATCTTAGGGAAATTCATGCTAGAATAAAAAAAAATTTAGGAAATTCACTCAAAGAATCACCAAGTTAGAGAAACCCTACCTTCAATAATCTTGATGGTGATGGAAATGGACATGATATAAATGATATCAAAGAAGATAATCGCTAAAATAATATTAAGCAATTTAATCCTCCATATCCACTAACGGCATGCAATTTAAATTGCTAAAATAATATTAAGCAATTTAATCCAGTCCACTATCCTCTCTCGGCGTCATACTAATGAGTACCTAAACCAGCACGAAATCTTCCTTCCGTCTTGGTGAAAACTTCTGGAATGTCCAAGAAGATGTTCAGCAATTCCAGCACCTCTGATAAATCATCGTGGCGTTAAAATATATCAAACTAATCGTACTAGATTATTTGACTTGTAGCGATGGTTTAACTATCCCATCCCAAATAACATACCACAATGAAGCATGTCCAGGTAAAATAGATGGCTAGAATTATGTATTTCTACCAAATCCTATAACCACATGCTCACAAATCTAGCGTAAATAGCGCTATTACTCCAAAACAGTAGTTGACTGATCACGCACTTGTATTCCCAACTAAACCACATACCAAATCATAAATAATTAACGAAAATAAAACACGTATTACAAAACACAATAACATGAAACATAATATTTCTTAAGACATCGTTCTTTCTAGAAAAGAAAACCTCCTCTGAAATCAACTTGAAAAAAAAAATTTACAAAATTTCATTTTATAGTTCCGTAGGTAATCATCCAATCTCGAAACATATCCTTTAAACATAGCTGAAAAACAACATTCATTTGCCTAAGCAAATATCAAGGACTTAACGCTTTGCCTCCTTATACGCGGAATGCAAACAATAAAACGTGGCTTTATAAAGCAACTTAGAACATCACAACATAATCCCCATACTCTCCTGAACGTGATATAAAATCATGTATTTCGTTTTGATAAGCACTCCATCAAATCCCCAAACTTCTGAAGAGTACTTTTTTTTTTTTTTTTTTTTTTTTTTTTTTCTACCTCCTTTAGAGATGATACGAAAGTTTAACTATATGTAGATTGATCAACCCCAAATTCTACTAATCTTATTCGCTATACTAGCAAATAAGATCATCCTCGATCGATCATTCATCTTTCATATTTAGTATCCTCTTTCTTGGATACGCTGAAATCTCCTCCAATAGGATCCTCTTCGAACTCCTACTCCTCCCTTGTCTCCTTTTTGAGAAC